GTGTGTGTGTGTGTGTGTGTGTGTGTGTGTGTGTGTGTGTGTGTGTGAGAGAACAAGACTTCCTCACATCTGCTTCAGGCTATGGCTCCAGGCTACATTAGCTGCTACTAGCATAACACACTGGACTCTCCAACCGAGCCGTCGGTGGTCAAGTTGCCTTGTGGGTAATGTAGGCGGCAATTTTGGGATAAGAGCGAAGAATGCGTGGAATAAAGAAAATTATATTTTTGTTTCTAATGTATCAATTGTAAACTATTTACATAATTCTGGGAACAAACGAAGAACTATGTAGTTTAGTATGAAGTAAATCTTAAGTATCTATTACCGAAGCTGCTTTTGCATTGGACCAATCCAAACAATGGCTTTCTCATTAATAGTTATTGGACTCTATATTACATTATCTGACAGGCATTCTTTTACAATCCAGTCTGTTGCTTCACTGTCACGGTTTTAAGTAGCCGTCGTAAATTGTTGTTTCGCCTCGTCAGGCGTTCCACGAGGAGAGGCTGAGCCGGAAGCGCTCCTGGGAGGAAGCTGAGCACTTCTGTCAGGCTCTGGGAGCCAACCTGCCCAGCTTCACCAGCAATTATGAGATGAGGGCCCTGCACAGCATCCTGAGAGACACCATCAGGTATACACACATGCACGCACGTCCCGTACGCATTGCTTTAAACTGCTGCGTCTCAAAACAGAAATGGCAACGTCTCTTTTTTGTTTCTTTGGAAGACGATTCATTTAGTGTCAGGAGTGATGGTTGGTTTGCTCTGGTGTTGTTGTTGCAGTGATAATCGCTACTTCTGGGTTGGCCTGAACAGAAGAAACCCAGCCGATCGCTCCTGGCAGTGGAGCAACGGTCAGCCTGTGAGTATGACAGACATATTATACAAGACTTATTTTTAAGAGACATCATTTGGTGTTTTTTCAACAAATATTCTTTCACCAATTAACATGTTGATAATAGTAATAACCTTTATGTCAAGAAAGGGAATTTGACAAAAATTCATGGAGCAAATCAAAGTATAATGAAGATGATATCAGTGCTGGATTATATTACTTTATAAACCTTTATTAATCGCAAACACAACATGTCTGGCTTGGATATACTTATTGCACTGTATTGTATTTCTTTATGAGTAATTAGTCTGTTAATTTAATTTAACAGGTTTCGATGGATATTTTACACCAAGACTTCCATGAGGATGATGCATACAGTCGGGACTGCACTGCATTCAAGGTGAGCACCATTTCCATACCCACTTATGTATTTTAAATGTATAATCTCTTTCTTACCTTTTCTGTACGCATGCTTTTTTAAAACATGTATTTGAGTGTGGTTATCTATACTGTACAAGCTTAATCTGACTCTCTATCTCGAGACGTTCTTCGTGGCTTTTCCTTTCTTACACTATAAATGCAGGGAGCAACCAGATCTGCGATGTCACACACATGAAACGGCTTTTTCTCGTATGTTTGAATGTCATCATGAAAGAAACAATCTATTTCCTTGTTAGACATCGAAGAGCACCTTGAAACACCTGTTTGTGTTTCTGCTGCACGACTTGCCCCCCACACCGTTCTACGCCACACCGTTCCACTGTGACGCCAGGCTAGAGTGGGTCTGCCAACTACCCCGCGGTAAGACTCTCACCAAGACTGCGGAAATACAGAGATTTGTAATGTTACTGTACTTTTGTGATCCACAGAGTTGAGGTAAAGAACAAGATTTTCCCAACATGAACCCGATATGATGTCGTTGTTTGTTTGCTTTTGGTTTCACTCTGATATAACTCGTTCTTTGTTCACATCGTATGCTTCAACAGGAAAGACGCCAAAGATCCCAGACTGGTACAATCCCGGTAATGACCAAATCTTTCCCGTTTCCGTGTTCAAATCAAATGGCCTGAATTTCTTTTTTTATTCCCAGATGATCTGCTAATAGAATGACTTTTCATGCTTTGCAGGTGGACACCATGAGAGCTCTATCTTCATAGACGGAGCAGAGTTTTGGTTCGTTAAGGAGCCGGAGCTAACTTTTGAGGAGGCAACGCTCTTTTGCAGTATGAACGGCAGCAAGCTGGCTGCACCACTCGGCTCGACTGCTGCCAGACAGATCCACCAGCAGCTAAAGAACGTAAGTGGTCAAACCATGATGGACTTGTTTAAATGCTGCTTTTTATTTTTAGCTTAGCTGCTTCAAATAACAACAAAAGATTATCTTTAATAGAAATTCCAAAATACAGAGCAATAAATGTAAGCGACGCGAGTTAGTGCTTAACTGGGAAACAGGATTGTAAGAAGTGCGCCTCAACTCCATCTTTATGAGCTTGACTGTCTGACTGAGCAGCTGGATGAGCCACAGCTGATTGAGATGAGCTAATTAGTGCAGTGAGACACACAGACCACACAAGCTTTTCTCTTATCTATACTTTGCGCTTGAGACTCCATTCAAAGCTTCCAATGTTCCACATTTCTCAGACATTATTGTTATTTTTTTTAACTTTAACAGACAGCATTAGTGCTGAAAGTCTTCTAATGGTTCACAAACTTAACTAAGACTAGAAAATGTGAGCATATTACACCAGTTTAAGCTTCTCTCCATTGGCTACCTACCTATCCATGTCAGATCAGACTTTAAGGTGCTTCCGATGACTTCCAAAATTGTAAATGGACACGCCGCTTCCTACCTTTCCTATCAGGACTCCCCGCTCTCAGAATCCAGGCCTCCTGTCTGTCCCCAGAAAAAGAAGTCATCAGGCCAAAGGGCCTTTCCCTATAATACTGCTTTGTTCAATTAATTCAACTGTGTGTGCATTAAGGTCCAATTAACTGGGGCGCATTAAAGTTCATAAATACGCCTGTGCAGTTAAAAAGGAAAAAGGGTGAAAACCTGTCTTCCTGTTCTCTCTTTTTGCGGTTACCCTGTTTACCCCGTTTCTTTCTCCCCATGGGCATCCGTACTTGATTGGCAGAGCCTGGTGACCGGGAAATTCCTTCCTTTTTCATCTGTTCATGGGAAGCTGACAATATTTCATGAGAAAACAGCTGGAAGCAGTCAAAATAAAGTTGAACAAAGTTCTGCCCCCAAACTAACCACAAAAAAAACATCATCTCTTCAGCTTAATGACATTAACTGAACATCTCTGCATGAATTTTGACCGTACTCTTGTGAGTCCTCTAACGTTATGGAAGTGCAATACACAATCTGTGGAGAGCTCAAGAGAACTACAGTCGAGTATTTACACATCAATTGATTTATTTGTATTGTGCGTAGTTTCTTGCCTGCTTGACGTCTGTACTCGTGATCACTGCCTGAGAAGTTTTTCTTCTTTTTTTGTAAAGTATTTTAGAAACTCTGTTTAAGACAAGAGCTAATAAAGTTCATTATTTTATTATGTGGTACTTTTGCTTGCGTGTTTTGAACAGATGTCCAGCTCTCCCAAGCAAGGCTGGTGGGTCGACTTGAGAGAGTCTGGACGGATATTCCCCATGTCGTAAGCCAGTATAGTTCCACACACATACCGTTCATGTTGTACAAACACAGTGTGATGTTGACTGAAATACTGTATGTTCTAGGTACACCCAGATGCACTTTTACCATTCAGTTTTCCTGGGCAGATGCACCTCCATCAGTCCTGAAAACTTCTTTCCAAGTGAGCAAACGTCACAGAGTTTCTTTACAGCTGAGTGTGGTTACGGATATTTCTTAACTTACCACATTGGATAGAAAACGACTTCAGCTCAAATCTGTTTAATTATATATTTGGCTTCAGTTTGAAATAAGCCTCATTTCTTATTTCTTTGTTTTCTTGGCCAATATGAAACTTCAAACTTGAATAAAAACCTGGTTCAGATGAATCTAAAGGCCCAGAAAACCTTTTCTCTCAATCGGCTTCTATGTGAGAACAAAATGCTGATGAATATTTAACCTTCTAGGGAAAATCTTCAGATTTTAAACCAAGTTTTCAGAGGTTGTAAAGCTATAAGCTATTCATTTCAAATATTTAAAGGTTATCAGTAGCGTAAAACAGTACGGTAATATTTATAAGAACTAATCTGGCTTTAATCCTTTTACTTGATTTGATTCATTATCGTGCTTGTGGTCTCATTTACTAATCCACACATTTTGCTGTCGTAATGTCAACTTGCAGAGCATGAGCGCAGTTGCAGTCAGCAATTGTCCTTCGTGTGTGAGAGACACAACATCACGTCAGTGGAGATAAACCCTCTGGAGCCTCAGCCTGGAGGACTGCCCTGTGGAAATGGCTCTCTGGCCTTCAGAAATAAGGTCTGATCGCTCAACAGCAACTACACTTTTAGAGACTAAAAAAAACGATCCACTACTGTCCTTATGGTCGTATACTTTAACGCTAAAATCGCATAAGACAGAATTACTGTTCAAAGTTGGAGATAATTGAATGATAATGTATCCATACTTTTAAAGGAAAGTCCTCCTGGAAGCTCTTTAACACCGACTGAAAAATCTTCATTTCCCACAAAATCACGGCCCAACATAGACAATCTCCATTTGAGATATTTCCATCACAGCTGCAGTTTAGTGCAATAGAAGGAATTCAAATGGCAGCAGATTTGAAGAACTATGGTTTATATAATTCATATTTACTGCCCGAGTGACATTTTGAATATCAAACTCTTCTCACATTGCTCACTTAGGTTGGTTGCAAATGTAGAACAATTGTTAAAATGGGTGGATTAGCATTCAAACTATTTAGCTTGGCATCTGAACCATTGTTTATCTCTTTGTGTATTTTATTTAACTTGGGAGTTTCTTCTTCTATTTATTTATTTATTTTATTTTTTTTAATTTTTTTTTAGTGCTACACATTGATGACGAGCATGAAGCCTGTGTCCTTCAAGTATGCCAATGACGATTGCCAGTCGGTGAGAGGAACCCTGGTCACTATATCCGATCAGGCGGAGCAAGGTGAGGGCAGCTATAGTTCTAGCTCTACGTTTGATAAACATGATGGGTAAGGTTAATAATATGCCCAATATGACTCCGATGATGTCAAACGCATTGTTAACTGTTGTAAAATATATAATTTTATGTTTGATAATGTTCATATGTGAGCCGGTCAACTAAAGAAATTATAGTTGCTCAGAGTCCAAACGCATGGTCTATTGAACACAAGTCATTGTCGCACCGTAATTGTGTGTTTCAGACTTCATCACCACCATTTTGCCGAGCATGAGAAACATGGACAGTATATGGATTGGTCTGAAAATCAAGCGTGGCGACCCGGAATGGGTGGACCAGTCCCCAGTTAACTACGTCAATATTAACCCCCTGGTTCTGGGCATGCACAGGGATATAAAAGTCAACGTAAGTTCTCCTTTCCTTCACTGCCCTTTTGAAATGGGGACACGTCAGTCTGTTTACAGGTCTTTCAGAGAGATACTGCATGTGTGAAGAAAGTAGTATAAAGCCTTTTTGTGGCTTAACCACATTTGAATTCACAATGTCATTTTTGTCTGTACTTTTTTTGTTCTTGCTTGACAGACATGGGATCTGGACAGTATGGATTTGTGTGTGTTTTTGATCAATAACCCCAATTCTGCCATGCTGGGTACCTGGGACTATTCGTCCTGCACACAATTTAAAAATTTGGCCTTTTGCCAACACTATGCAGGTAAATCACCACCTCCCGCACTGAATACTACTTTATTGTACAGATTTCTCTCACTTAATCAAGTTACGCTTATGCTTAAATTATGCTCCCGCCCCTAATCTCTCTCCTGTAATCTCTCTAATAAAGGGCATGAAGTGCCCAGATAAATACTTCTCACATGACATGATGTTCTTAAAACACAAGGTTTACTCATTTCAGATAAGCTAGAGGAGCCCCGCGTCCCCACAAAGAGCTTCAAGGTGAACAACCACACCATCTTGATACTCAACAAAAACCTCACCTGGTTCGAGGCCTTAGAGCAGTGCAGGAGCAACGACATGGACCTGGCAAGCGTGGCCGACACCTTCCTGCAAGCCACCCTCACCGTGCACGTGAGCCGCGCGCGCAAGCCCATGTGGATCGGCCTCTTCAGCGAAGACGTAAGTGTGCCAAGGAAGGGCTGCCTTTATTCGAATCCACTACTTTTGCGAGATACTTCTTTTGGAATATTTTCTTTGGGTTTTGTGCACAGGACGGGATCCACTACCGCTGGACCGACCACAGTCACACTGTTTTCAGCCGCTGGTCTTCCGACGTCACCAGTGGCTCGTGCGTCTACCTGGACACCGACGGCTTCTGGAAAGCCGAAGAGTGTGAGGAGGAGCTGGGAGGCGCTATCTGCCACAAACCACATGGTACGGACTGCTCGGCGCAGACGGCTGTTTCACCTCCTCGTATAGAGTGAATGCCTGCGAGTGGTGGTGTATGAAACATCAGGCTTAAAGGGTTTACAGCGATGCCAGTAGAAACATTGAATACAAAGCTACGGCTTCCCTGTTAGGCCTGGCTGTCAAAACAAAGCACAAGCAAGATCTGGGCATTGTAATCAAGTTGTAAGTCTATAAAATCGAAGCTCTGGAATATTCCAAGTTTTCTGTTATGAATACAGTTTTACAGAAAAAAAGAAACCCTTTATTCATTTTTATGATGTGAAATAATACGAGTAGCGGTTCAGATTTTTTTTTTTTCCCCCAATCACTTTTTGTCACCATCGTTCTTTATTAATTTAATCTTTGAAATGTGTCTAATCATTCTGTCAAAATTGAAACTATTTTAAATCCTTGTAGACTTCCTAACTTCAACATAAGCACTCTAAATTCTTCTGTGTTGTACGTCCTCTTCATTTTTTTTGTCTCGGGGTTGGTTTCATCTACATTTACAATCTCATCTCTTCTCTGTTGGCATGCGCCCGTATTCTTGCAAACGCTAATCTTTAGAAACTAAACTAAAATGTAAATTTACGGATTACAGTAGAGATCATCGCCACACCAGAGGATGTTGCAGTCAAGTGCCCCCATAAGATTAATGGTCCAAACTGGATCCCCTTCAACAACAACTGCTACTCCTTCAAGCTGGTCTCCACCAGATGGGACCAGTTTGACCAAGGACAGATTCAGGATACCTGCAAGAAGCTAGGTAAGAATGTCACAACACTGGGCACATGTTGTCGTGTCATGTTGGTTTGCTTATGAATCTTTCTACAACAGACCGATGATTAAGCGTTTATGTTTCAGATTTAAATGCAGACATCCTGACCATTCGAAATTCAGAGGAGAACGAGTTTATTAAGCAGCAACTCATACCGTTTCAAAACCTGGTCCAATTTGTATGGCTGGGGCTGTTCAACGATGACAACGGTACATACTTTCACAGACATCTATGTCAACTTTTAAGCCTGTGCATATCGACACTGATACTGGTTCTGTGTGTGTGCCTGTGTTTTTGTGTAATTATGCAAGGGGTTAATAGTAATTCTGTTCTGCTGTAGATAACCTGATGAAGTGGTATGACGGCACAAATGTCCAATATTCCAACTGGGCAAATGGCAGACCAGATGGAGACGGACCATTCATGGCTGGTCTCACCGTTGACGGCAACTGGATCCTCATCTCGAACCCAAACCAATTTGCAGAGTTCAAGCAAATGAGCATTGTGACCTGCAAACTGGACAACGGTTGGTGCATCGCACTTCATGATTCACATTTCTGTGTCATTCTGTTGAAAAATGCACCGTGCTCAAAAAAAACAATCTCGCATCTTGTAATCCTTCGCTCTAAAGAACTAAAGCAGGAGTACAACCTGTCGTCCAAGGATTTCCAACATTACGGCAACTTAAGCTACGAGATTGTGACCAAAAAACTGAGTTGGCACCAGGCTCTGGAAGAGTGCGATCGGAGGGGAGGCCACCTGGCAAGCGTCCACGACATCCAGCACAGTGCACACGTGAAGCTCATTGCCAAGACGGACGGCTTCCCGCTCTGGATTGGCCTATCGAACCAGGATGTAAGATGCAAAAAATGTTTTCTGAGCAAGCGCATGTCGTATGGATTTCTTTCTTTTGCTCAAAACGGCCCCTCTCTCTCTCTCTCTCTCCCTCCCTCCTCCCCGTGCAGGCTAGTGACTCAGACTTCGAGTGGTCCGATGGAACGAGATTTGACTACAAAGCCACCATCTCTGACTCACCGGAGGGCTCCGGCTCGGACAAACTAGACGCCAGCTGTGTCCAGGTTACCCCTGCTGGAGCCTTGGTGAAGACCGGCTGCAATAAGTTGTTGGACGGAGCCATCTGCTATACCACCACCATCACCACCGCCTCCCAGAGTAAGACATCGCCGTGTTTTATACATAGAACCACATTGCTCTCGCACCACTGAATCACTTTGTACATCACGGCGTCATGCATCTACTTGCGACTTAATTTCATGCTGTAGTGGCACATTGGCCGTCGTCCATCTTGTATCTGTGTTGTCATGAATCAGGAGCCAGAATGCAGGTGACCCCAGCGGCCAATCGCTGCCCTCGGAGCAACGGCGTGTCCAAGTGGGTGCAGCACCAGGAGCACTGCTACGCCTTCGACATGAGCTTCTACAACTTCAGCGCGTACAGCATGAAGCAGGCCGGGAGCATCTGTCAGAGCATGGGTGAGTCCGTGTTTGGTGTATGAAGGGTTAGAATCGGTATTCATCTGAGGCAACTGTAGTCCACCAGTTTTTTTTCTGCTGACAGATGCTCAACTACTGACCTTAAAAACCAAAGAAGAGAACGACTTTGTGTCAAAGTACCTGTTCGATGACCCGCTCATCACCAGTCGAGTATGGCTCGGCGTGGAGGTCGATGCTGAAGGTAAACACTTTGAAATGGAAGCAGGGCAGTGAAACATTGTTTAGGATTTCGGTAACACTACAACTTCCAATCTGCACTTTTCAGATATTTCAAATCATGATTATATTCGTGCATATAATTCCAGAGTTTGACTTGTAGATGAAAAACAAGCTTCCTTTGTTTGTTTGTGATGATAATTGACGATACAGGCTTGTTTTTATATAATGTTTACAGCAACAGAAAACATTTTATAGGATTTAGCCAAGTGTTCAGAGGAAAGGGATAAACAACCCGTCATTGAATTTGGGAGTGACAGCTGATTCCTGGTGGTTGAACCTTCTGTTTACATGTGACGAAAACAAAGGAAGAAATAGAGAAACAAATAAATGGTGATTACATCAGAATGTTCAATTCTGTTGCTCCAAGTGGCCAAACCAAAGAATGTTGTTTTCATAAATCTGTGCGTTTACTAAGTCATTTTTTATTATTTATTTGTGCGATGGTAGTCCTCCCTTTCCCCTCTGATGGTCTCCTGGTTCTCCCTCTCAGGTAAGCCTGTATCCTGGCAGGATGGCTCGGCCCTGGCCTACTCTAACTGGAAGTCTGAGGCCCTGGTTACTGGGAAGAAGTCTGACGCCCACTGTGCCGTCATGATGGCAGGAGATGAGGGAAGCTGGAAATTTGTCAGCTGCAAGGCAAGCCACAGCCGTGTTGTCTGCCAAACTGGAGCAAGTGAGTATCACAACTGCACTAAAGGAAGATTTTTGACAATTTGGGAAATGTGCGTATTCGCTCTCTTGCCCAGAGTTAGATGAGACTATTGTCGGTTAGCATAGCTCAGCACGATGACTAGAAAGGGGTAGATGGCTAGCCGGGCTCTGTCTGAAGGTAAACATTTGGCAGACACTCCAGGAAGTTTGCTGGTCCCAGGTGAGAAATAGTCCGGCACATAATCACCCTTAAAATGTCTAATTGTCATTTTTACGCTTCAGATTTTGTAAGGATTAAACAAACAAGATATAATGTGTTGATTAGTGAGCTTTAGAGAGAAAAACTGGCTAGCTGTGCCCCACTGTTTCTAGTATTTGTGCTAAGCTATCTGGCTGCTACGTCATATTTACCTATAAATCTCCAGCTTCTCTAAAGTGACGTAACTTCACTGACAACGGTAGATGTTTTACACGTTTGATTTTCAATAAACATTCTTTAGTCTGAACTCAAACATGATGACATCTTGTTTAATGGGACCAAAAACCTCTACACACTGACTCCCTGTCTCTTCACTTTTGCGTGCTCAGAGTCTGGAGGCTCTCCTGTGGCGTTGGGTCTCTTCATCGTGGTCGTCCTCGCTCTCGTGGTAGCCGTCGGCTTCATCGTCTATAAGAAGAGAGGAAGCCGCTTCTCCTCCACCGTACGCTACAAGAGGACCTTTGACGACGCAGACGCCGCCAGTATTATAACGGACGCTAACTGAGCTCGCTTAAGTAATCAGCCTCAGGGAGTATTGATGTGCCTTGCGTGCATTTTAGTGCTTTTGAGCAAGAGCAGCCTTCCCCTTTTCTTAAATTATTTATTTATGCCGCTTAAGCCTGCAGACTTTCTACGATTATGTTTAAAACTGTAAATATTGTGAGAGAATTTAGAAATTCTGCCAATTCAGTTTCTTAATTTGGGTTATTTTAGATCGAGTCCTTTGTTATACCTAATGTAAATACTTGGTCTGATGCTCTGGTAAATGTTGATCATTGACATTAGTGGGATGACTTTTTTTTTTTTTTTTTTAAATTGTAAAAATAATTTAAATTGATTTACAGAAATATTCAAGGCGACACAACACTCCCTTTCAGCCTTAAAACGGGTTCAATTGCACTGATGTATGAGTGACTCCAAACTATCAGAAACATAACGTGCATTTATCAGCTTATACGGTCTGTGGCATTATTTTATTTTTCAACTTAAGAAGATTTGATTTCCATGTGGTAACAATGAATCAATACATTAAGACCAGTCCAGCTGAATACACAGTAAGATCTGTTTTCATTTGACTTGAGTGTTGTATGTGCCTCACGATGAACAGCTTTACAGCTCCACACCTGTCCCCAAGCAAAAGGAAGAAACTAAAGGCTAAACTTCAGCAAATCACATTAAAACCATCTGGATTGAGAGATATTGCACTCGGATCAAGAAAATACATTTTCATTTTTAGTTGGACTGTTTTAAATAAGAAGAAAACATTTGTCATTGATGAGAATCTCACTGGCTGCCTGTTAACATCATTACTTCAGGAGAGATAGGAGGTTTAAGCCACTGGATGAGGTGATTTTCAGTGTATTTGTGGATCCACTCAACGTATTAATACCTACTAATATGTTTTCGTTGTCAATACATGAATAATGCCAGAGAAGAATCTGATATTTTAGTCCTGCTGCTTAGTTTTAAAAGTGTAGGACACTGTCTTAGCCACATGTTGTTTTGTTTGTATAATTTGTCTGTTTATGTAGATCTGACTTTCCTATGCACTTAACTACTGAGCAAGAACGCACTTTAACATGTCGTGGAGCTACAGTTCCTACTATATTTAAGCACAATGAGGTTGGGAGAGTTTTTAGAGACGTTCAATTTGCACTGGCCTTTGCTGTGAATGCTTTGTAAATATGTTTTATAACTGAGAATGAACCAAAGATGCTTTGAGTTGTTTGAATGTCAAAAGCCTGAGCTTTCCTTTCACTTTGTCGAACTGCCTCAGTAGGGCTTGTTAACCCATTCATATCAATTCTAAACCAAATGTTTGTGGGTTGTTTTTTTTATTTCACCATCACTCCTACGCAGATCTCTGAGCTCAAATCAGGTACAGTTTCCTTCCAAATAAATTTCCTGTCTTCAAAGACGTGTTTTCCATTTTTTTCCACTGTAATGATTATTTCATTTGTATTTATTATCTACGCCAGGTGGATCATGTAATCATGCCAGCGTGTGAGCGAGTGAGTGTGCATCTCTGTGTCTGTCCATGGCTAATCTTGCATTCTGCTAAATATTTTGGATGGCCAGTTACGGCTCAATGCTCAAGCTTAGTTTTTGTCCTTCACAACAACTTTGAGCGGATTTCCTCTGCACTCTACTGGGTGCACCTTTCTCGTTAGTGTGTGATGTGAATCTGTAACTGAGCTACTGTGGGCAGGGAGGGGCGCTGATTAGAATGAGTGGCTAGCAGAGCGCTCATTGCGTTGGGTGGGTGCCGTTCGAATATGGAAAGCAGAAAGTGCCATTAAACGCCTCTTTCAATTTTAACCCAAAAACACCTTTTTACGCCGTGAAGAGGTGCACACTTTGACTATATAACTGTCTTCATTCACAACTTGCAACATCTAAGTGTGTAACAATATTATATGCAACTAGTCAGGCTTAGCTAACAATGACGTTCGACTGATGCAGCCATTTTGACATGTCATTTCAGAGTAAACACAGGTGTGACTAATTACGTATGGCCCCGATTCATTTAGGTGGACCAGGGCCCTGGTATTGTGCATGCTGGCTCACTGGGAACGGCATTGACACACTTAATAGAATAGTATGATTGAATTGATCAATTACACCTGTTGTAACCCTGCTGTGACACGTCAAAGTGGCTGCTGTGAAAAGGGCCTATTTCGCCGTCATTGAATGACTGTAATTTTAAGTGGAAAACTTCTGGCAAATATTTAACAGATTTACAAATATTCAGACAACTGGAAACCAGCGTTCAACGGTGGATCCACCGATTTGTATATGGACTCATGACAAATAACTTATTTACGGATTCCAGCGGTAAATCCGTGTCAGTCGTATCACCACCGCTGCTTTCAGAGTCTCTTAAGTCTTTCCCATTATTCACTTGCATTGTCTAGATTACACATCACTGTACAATATTATTTAAATTAGCATGAAAATTATGTTTTGGGGTGGATGTTACGGGAGTATCCCCATTAAACACATTTAGAGGCAGTGTGATAATCCCACTTGGCTGCCATTTTATTTCACCGCTGAACAAATCTGACTCACAGGTGTGAAACATCTCATTTAAAGGTGCCAATATGTCGGCAGTGGCGGCACCTTACAAGTGTGGAGACTTCTTCCTTGTGTGCAGCAATTTATCTCTAGTTAAAAGAATAGAGCAGAGGTTCAACCATCAACAGTAGCGAGCCCGCGTGACTAACAAGAAGCACCGTGTTAACTGTAGTGTGCCTGCAACATGCATAGATAACAGAAGATATAATAAATGATAAATATAAGAAAGGACAGCAGAAGAAGCAGTTTGCATTCGATCTTTATTTTCAAAACGCATTAAACTAGATTTGAACAGACAAAGCATTTCAAACACTGAAACAGAGATGAAGAACATTTGTTCGATTGGGTGAAGTTCTCGTCTTTTCTTTCAACATATTCATCAGTGGGAAAAGTTGGAGGAAAACAGTAAAACGAAAGGAAATAATCATCACTTTTAATATTCTCTCCCAAAAGCATCCTTTTTATCATCACAAAGTGGCACTGTTGCCCTTCTATGCTATTTCAATTCTAGCCTTTTTATTTAAACATTAAAGCACTTGTGGTTTAGAAAGACTTGCATCTTTTATTTACTCATAATTGAATAAAGTGCACTCTCACGGAAACAGAAATACAGTGGCGTCAACCAACAAATTATTTACGCTCTGGTTCATTTAGAGTTTGCATATCCCGCAAAAGCCAGCTTTGTCCCGCGCACTTGGCATTTCTCACTGCCGTTGCATTTCAGATGAACATGATTATGTCGACGCACGTGTGAAAACTGGGTGAGCTACCATATGGCATGGAGTGACCCACTTTTTATTTATTTTTTATTTATTTTTTTACCCTCGATCCACCACAAAACTAGTACTCTTCTTCAAGATCGTCGTCCAGGTCAGAGAACTCAATAGACGGTCTGTTGTCTTGTAGCTCCTCGTCACTTTCATGAGGAACTGCAACCCAGACACATCAAGTCAGATCATACAGCCGGATGATGAATACGATAAGTGAGTGATCTACAGTGTGCTGCAGCTTTAAACACGACATTTATACATGAAAGCATTGCTTGCAGCAAAGCAGGACTGCCTTTCGACAAACGCATAAGAATGGAAGAGAAAGTTGAGCAACGTACTTTCCAGATTGTCCATGTGCTCGTGAAGAATTCTCACCAGGTTGAACAACTGCGTGAGAGGAGGAAGCAGTTTCCCTTTTCAAGATTTGCATTCGTACACAGTACATCATTTAAACAGTTTGTGTAAATCACCATTAAATTCAGTGTCGGTGGTTTAAAGTGTAAGAAAGAAAACGATTATATACACATACACGCACAAACCAGTGTCTGCTGCTTGTGTGCCAGCATTATTGTTTAAAAGTTTACGCTGGTGGCTTACGTTAACCTTACATCTCTTGAGCTGAATATCTGAAAATTACATTGTAACTGGCGGAGCGGGTGGGCTACTGCGTGTGTGTTGTGTGTGTGTCGGGTCTGTTTAAGTATAAAATGAAACCGTAGCAACCGGCCCATTAATGAGAAACTCGGAGCCCCCTCACTGAAAAGTCGAGCCCCCCCCCCATAATACCAGGAAAAGAAACTTCTCTGGCTCCGCCACTGCCCGTATACTCAAATAAAGTCTGACAGACCGACTCTGAAATGGCTCTTTCAGACAATTATATGTCTAACTGTAGCGCTGAATTAGCAATAAGGGTAGTTCTAGTCCGAGAGTGTGTGTGTGTGTGTGTGTGTGTGTGTGTGTGTGTGTGTGTGCGCGCGCTCTCTCACCCCAGCAGCATCGACTGCTCCCAGCACATCGGAGAACCTCTGCTCACAGAAATGCAGCAGCACCACCAGATAAAGACCGCTGCTGATGAACTCATCGTATTCTGACTGTGAAGCAAGAGAAACAACTTTCAGTTGAACTGCATGGTTTTCATCCAGAATGTAGAGAGTACAGTACATACATGGTTGGCAAAGTAAAAAGGAGAAGACCACCAGGAGCCTCCATAACGGTTTCAAAGCTGCTTGGCATAGAGACTAAAAGTTGCATTTTACTCACATGATTCTCTCACTCAAACCATTCAGTGAGCCCTCGAGCCCGGCATGGAAGCATCTACATCTATGCGTTTCCATTCATTCATTCAGATTGTATTGAGTGCTGTCATTTATAAATAAGAAGTAAAACGGTGACTTACTTGCACGTGGGTCCTGTATAACTCCTGAATGTCAAAGTTGTCTATGTTCAAACGCAGTTTCTCCTTGCACAGTTCACATGTTGTGATGGCCTCAAGGTTTGTGCCTAAAAGAAGGAAAAAAAGGACAAAAACAGACTTGGTTGGCAGGACGTGGTTTGGGTGTAGGCGCAGCCAGGTGAAGGTCGGCATTTACCTGAGCCGATCTTGGAGCGGAGCCACCTCTTGATGCAGTCCTGGTGGACGTAGAGCAGACTGCCTGTGCAGCGGCAAGGCTGAATCAGAGGGTTGGAGGCAGATTCCTGCCCCATCTGGCAGATTCGGCACAGGTCGCCTTCTTCATCGTCAGAGTCCTCCAGCAGCAGTCTGTAGCAGGAAAACGAGGACATTTACTTCTACGTTTGATACAGTGCTTCCACAGTGCTGCATATGTGGGAGTCCATTACCTCTCCTTGATCATGCGCAGCTTCTCCTGATCCGGGCTGGAAGCGGGTTTCTCCAGCTGGCTCTCAGCAGCACCTGACGGACCCACGGACCCTAAAATGTTGTCGTATACTCCGACTCTGCGGCATGGCGAAAATGCGGCCGAGGCATCTTCAAGTTCGGGCAACGTCTCGTCCTCGAGTCGGCAGGGACGACCTGCGCCGAAGACCTCTAAACCAACCGCTCCTTCATCTTCCTCCTCCTCCTCATCGTCATCATCATCATCTTCCTGCGTAGCTTTATGCTCGAGGTCATCCCACCTTCTCAGTAAGTGCTGTGGACGGCTGTGGCCTTCTTCTAAGCCTGCGGCAGGGTGCGCATTCCCGCCCTGAGTGTGTCTTCTGAGGCGAGAGAGGAGGGGAGGGCAGCGGCCACGGAGGGAGGACGACAGCCAGGAGTAGCTTCCTCCTCCTCCTCCTCCTCCTCCTCCGCTGCTGTTATTACTACTACCGACGCCAGGCTCTCTCGACGATGCCGTTCTCGCCTGAGCCAGGCCGCTACGATAGCCATCGTTGTTCTCCTGGATAGGGGCGAGGTCCGCTCTACGGTGCCTGAGGCTACCCAGGGTTGCCTCCGACCCTCCGGTGTCGGACTCCACACTGGACACCCTGGCCCCCTCGTCGCTGTCCACGGACTCTCCGCCCGTTGACGGGCTGTCGTCATCGAGGGAGCGGACGCTGGAGGACCCGCTGGAAGAGTCTTGGCTGGAGCGCCGCGAAAAGAGGCGGGACAAGAGGCGTCGAGTGGAGCTGCGGCCCTCTGGCTCCGCGCCTTCGGGGGCCGGCCTCGGAGGGAGCGCAGCCTCTGGTCGGGGCGGTGGAGCGGCGTACCTGGGGGTGTGCGAGGAGTAAGGGGAGGAGATCTTTGAGGAGGAGTCAGGGATCCTCGTCTGTTCCTGAGATGAGTGGACGGCGGATGAGCCGCTCAAGAAGCGGGACGGGGTTCTGCTGCTGAAGTCGCATGCCAGAGGAGAAGAGCGGTAGGAGGTGGAAGATGAGAGGTGGCGATTTAGGGAGCTTTCTCTAGCGGCGGAGGAGGAGTAGGAGGACGAGGAAGAAAAGGAGGGATAGTAGGCGGTCTCTTTAGGCCGAGCTCCCTGCGCATATGTGGAGGTCACCCTGTCTGTGTGATCTGGAATGAGGGAAGAGACGGGCAGTTTGCGTGAGATTGGCTTATGCGTAACAATGCATTATGGGTAGGTTGTTTTACATCACAAAATATGCCTACACAACGAGGAAGCCGATCCAGGAGTCCTGACCCTTCTTTCTCCCAAACCTGAGAGACTGGGCTCGATCTTCGTCTCTAGCTCTCTCCTGGACAGCAGCGGATTGGAGGAGGAGGAGGAAGAGGACGACCGCGAGAGCAGACGGCAGGAGCTCTGCGAGGAATCGCAAATGTCGCTAAGTTTTTCCCCCGTACCTGTGAAGAAGAAGAGTAGACACGCTGTTAAGAGGTTTGCTTGTATTTAACAATAAACTATAAGGATTTTACACATAAGTAATGGATTTACAAGTAGCTGGTGGTAATCCCAGATTACAACTGACAACAAGATTTAAGCAACAACTAAACCCAAAATAAAAGAGCTGCTAGCTCTTTCCACATCAAATTGACTTGTTGCTGCATTGTTGCAAGCCAATTAAGACTATCCGACAGACCACAAGACACCCAGTGATTTCTGTGTATTTACTGTAAAGAATCATAAACATCGTCACACCATCCGTATTAGCTTCTAATGCTCATGAGCTGAAACACTGTATAAAAAAAAAAAAAAAGAACAGCCATCTGACTTTGGAGATGCCTCGACTCTCCACTGCAGATGAGTCAACTAAAATGAGGAAATACAACGAGAAGCTGGGCGGTGGGGGTGTGGTATGGAGTACCTCTGACGCTGCTAAGCCCGGTGCTGGAATAGGCGGATCCTGTAACGGAGCTGCTGGCCGTTCTTGAGTACAGTCCTCTGTTGCTGTACGACAGCTTGGCCCTTTTAGAATCGCCGTCGTCAGTGACGTTCAACAGACCCGAGCGCAGCCCCAACCTCCCCTCAGTATCAGTCTGGGGGGGAAAAAAAAAGGCAGACATTTAATGACACTTTTATATTTCGATGACATCATTCCGCAATATTCCGATAAGTTTAAAAGGTGCATTTGACCAAGGCGCTATAAACAGACGAGTGTTCGGCTTTAGTACCAGTTTGGTCCTGCTGCTGAGAGAGGATTCAGCCCACGGGCGATCATAAGAGCGGCTGGAGGACGTCAGAGAGGAGGGCAACTTCCAGCTGGTGGAGCGACTGTCGGAGCTGCTGTAGTCTCTGGACGAGCTCAGGAGACGAGAACTCTTCAGAAAGGGTGAAACAAGTAGCATCAGTTGGTACTCGTGCCTGGGCAGATATATAACACAAACATGCATTGACGTTTCCTGTATGTTATCTCAAGAGGCGCTATAGGGCAACATTCTGATGAATTGTTCGCCATTTTATTTGCATCTCGCAAACGATACACAGCGAAGGGCGGGAGAGAAGACTGCAAGCTGGCGTTAACAGGGAAGTAAAGGTTTTAAAGTATTCAGAATATCTGCTTTGGACAGACATGCATTCACCAAGTTAGTGTGTTTTGGCGAGAAACACTGAATGCAAACACAATTGTTTGTTTACAAGAAACCTCCACAGGATACCTTCATCCTGTGCTCATTCCAGTATACCTGAAATAATTAAAATCACGGGTCTTTCAAGATAGCTTGGACTCTTCTGGAAAGCACAGGAACTAGACGGGGCCCAGGCCAACGGTAACACTATCTTTTCCGACGGGCCTTTGATGAGCAGCAGGACTGAAATACGCACAACGTGTGCCAAGGAATCTAGGCTGCCCTATAAAAAGACCTCCAAAGTGTCTGCTGTTGCACCACTGATATGTGGAGCTAGCTACTGCACCATGCGCCCGAGGGAACCTGTGAGAAGCGAGCTTACTTTAACACCCTCTCTCTGGAAAACACCAGAAGGGCAATAAAGCCTCAAGTGGAATAAAAACATACACACAGTTGGGTGATGTGGACTTAAGTGTAGTTGTTGTTATTGTTGCTCTTGACTATTTTAGCCAACTTAAACCAACACTCTTCCAGCTGACAGTCACCCTAAGACCTTTGCATACCAGGCTGAATTAAATGAAGCTGGTGTTAATCTACGATGACACCTAAAAAATAAAATTCTTAATAAGCATGTAATTTGAATTGAATGTGAAACTAGACGCACCTTATTCAGGATCCCAAGACTAATGCAGTAAACCAAGGGAGCGGTGTAGTGTATTTGAATTATTTACACTGTATGCAAATGTATAGACGGGGTTGTGCACCGTGTATAAAACAACGATGCTATGCATGGATCCTAGCCTTCAGCCATTTCTGTACAATAAGCCAGCAGTCGGCCTACCTGGTGGTCCAGGTCCGCCTTGTAAGCCGACGACACCCTCGGGAAGCGGTCATTATTCAGCACAGTCTCCCTACTGTACAGCCGGCTGGATCCCAGTGACGACGAGGGGACTGTGGGACTGGATGTGTAGGAGGACCTTGAGCTGGGCAGACAAAAGGGAAGTCTGCGAGACCTGGAGTCCATCACGGATCGTCTGAAGAAGAGAAATCCAACGGTTGAGACGAGCAAAAAAAACTTGCTCACAAACGCATCTTTTATTCCCCACCCAATGAAGTTTACACCTTGCAGCAACAACTTTATAAAAGAGCCTGCGACTTCTCGATCCGTCTAGTAACACAGTTCGGTGGGGCGGTGTGTGTGTGTGTGAGAGCATGTCTGATTTGTTGATGGAGTGCACGTGACGGTGTGTCTGTAAACAAAAAAAACAAAAAAAAAAAAAAACACTTGCCACCATGCTGCTTCCTGGACTTGATATCACAGCGCCTATCTTTGGGGACTATGAACTCTGTCACATGAACATGACACTTCAGCAGAAGCACTCTGAGCAGTGTGCCTCAGCAAGCACGGTGCTCTGTAACAGTTATGAGACACTGAGATCATTTATTATTAAGCTGTGTTACTAAATCCAGCACATAGTGCACAGTCAAGGAAATTGTAATAGTCTCTTTTTTTCGTTATTCAAGTAACCTGTAGTGCACGTGATGCATTTGCTAAAAGTCAGAGGCACCGGTGGACCTGAAAGGAAGAGTTGAGCGGTTCTCACATAGGGTGGTACAGTGCGAGTTACTCCCTGGTAGTGATATGGATCCATGGACATTAGCTACAGCACCTGTGGCCAAAGATAGCTCAGCGAGCCAGCAGCCTGTCACACTGACATGACCGGCGGTATAAGGCTAGATAACGGACATTTAAACCTTTTTACCAACCAAAAGAGAATACAAGACATTTAGGGAAACATAAATGCGTTACCAATGAAACAATAGACAAAAACACTTTAACGGAAGTAGTCCGGGAAGTAAGTCTTAAAGAAGACAATAAAGTCAAAGAAATGTATTAAAATGTGTGTCAGTGTGGTTAACTACTAGTTGAAAGAAACAGTCCCTTTTTGCTGCAGTTCATTTTCTATGTAACAAGCCGCAGGTGCGTGTCTCTTGGGATACAAACACCATGAAGACTAGAAACCATAACGGTGACGTTAATTAAATTAAAAGTCTCAGCAGAGACCGTTTAATAGTCATTGACTTTAAGTAAAACCTTGGTAACGTCTTGTGTTTTTGATGTGAACAAACATTAGGTCAACGTTAGCATGTTAAGTGCTCTCGTGATCGATAGTTTACGAACTGTCTCAACCAAACTGCAGGTTTCAACGTTGGCGCTAACGTTATAACGTTAGTTGGTTAGCAAGCTAACCAGTCGGCTTTAGCAGAACACCAAGAGACGAATAACATGTAGCTAACGCTAAATCGGAAGAATTATTATTAACCCTTACCCTAGCGTTGTTTCTGTTAACGTGTCTGTTGTTTAGCTAACGAGTATTGACTACCTTGCACATTTCATATGCGACGGTTAGCTACAAACTAACGTTAACGCTAGTCTACCTGATCTAATAAAGAAAACAACACCCCCATAGTCGCTGTTTAGGTGTGCTAACACGGTAGCTCCGGCTAGTTGTCGGCAGAGCGGTTTGCTCCAGCAGCTGACATATCAGTCAACGGTAGCTGGTTAGCTTGTCATTTGTGCGTTAACAAGTCCCGACATTTTACGTTAACTAATCAGTGGCGCTAAATTAAACGCTGACTGGTGTTGGTTTGAGACAACCAGTTCGCGCATCAAGCGACATTTTACACCGCCTACATTCCCAACACAATGCATTGCCACCGGCGTAAACATCCTCACCTTTGATTTCAATCTGCCTTTGCTTTTACCACAACAGGAGCGATGGCGTCCGTGTTGACTGCTGTGGACACAGACGGTCACGTGATTTGCATTGACCCGGAGGGAGTGGTTTAGAAGACTGCTCGTGGCTCAAATATCACGGGCCACGTAATTCATCCACGGCGTTTAAAAAACAAAATTTAGAACTAGTATAAGAATGCACCCCGAGAAGAATATACACTTTTGGGCCACTGATTAAACCAAACATCATACCTCTTACCGAGTTTGACGCTTCCAAATAACCCCAGGCCCAGTCAAACAGCGCCCCTACGAGGCTTAGATAAGTAAGTAAATCACATTCTCGTTTTACAATGTATTCCACCAACAACTCCAACAATATACGGTGTGAAGCCAATACAGGCCCGCAAACCTGCTCTGTCAAATACAACATTTGGGCTCTGGAATAACCCGATTACACCTAACTTGAAAAAGAAGACGAAAAAAAAAATCTAATTTCATATTGTGCTTCAATTTGTATTTGTTTCTTCTGTTTTTAAAGCAATGTTTCAGTAGACTACTGAAACACATGCAGACCAGATGCTTCATGAAGATTCGTGTGTACAATCCTTAAAAAAGTCTCACCACCTTATGGCTTAATTAAAAGAGTCAAAGCCCCTGTGCACTCAGAAGCAAATACATGTTGCCTATTAATGATTTTAAACTATTAGAAATAAAACAGATACAAATTATTTTTAAAAAAACAGTATCCGCATATGACGTTTGTGTGATCTATAAAACTTTATTTTGTTTGCATTTGTACTTTAATGCTATTTTACTCCTACTTGACAACATTTCAAAGATAAATGGTGTACTTGTTTACACTAGATTCATTTGGCATCTAGTGACAGTTACTTTGCTAATTAAGATTTACCTACAAAATAAAATTTTGCTGTAAAACAAATGATAGTCTTATGAAATAGAAGGCATGCTAAACTACCCAACGGTAAAACTCAATTAAATACTGCTTAAATATTCAACGTTTAATTAAGGAAAGTCACAATTTCTTGAACATCCTGGTACAGCAATGACTTATTTCCATCATTGTTTGACATCTGATTGCTATGATTACAGCAGACTTGCTTGATAAACCTCACACTTGTCAACGTCCTGATGTGACGAGTAGCAAAGACATGGATGTGGAGAAATTAACCCAGCATATGAGGAGGTGCAGTGAATTATACAGTTAATGTGATAAAGGAATATATTATCCCACAAGATTGTGTTTGTATTGTTTCTACTTGATCTTTTCACATATGTGTTCAAATGTTGCGTGAATCCATTAAAACATCTAAATTGTAGTAGTTTGAAACTGCAGTTATTGGCTTGATAGTTTAATGTAATTGAAGTTTTTTTTCTTCTTTTGTATATAATATCTCCAACACACTGCTCATGATTTTTTGACTAAACTGGGGCATGTGATGCATCTGACGTGCATCGTGGCATTCTGACATTTTGAAAATGACTGCCCCAAGGGGGACGCTGTGAATACAAGTCAAAATTAATAAGTGAAAACTTTGCTTGCAGCTACTTACATGCTTTCCAGCACTGCTGAGCAAATGCCAAATACATAACAAATGTTTTTTTCTTTATTTCTGTGAGAGGCATGAATACAGAAAACACATCTAATAATTTAGCATCTCCTCCTGAAGATAAAGGATTTGGAGCAGAGCGATAACATCATCAGACCACGCTTTGTTACAGTAGAAAGCTTTTTTTTCTTATGAAAACTGTTGACAATTGAGTCTGTGAATTATCCAGAGTAACTTTGTGTCAGGGGGAAAAAAGGGTTTTAAATGCTTTGAGCAGCTTCATCATTGGGGTGGAAGCAGACATCTCAGAGATGTATCAAATGCAGGGTAAATAAAAACCAAATTGTCTGCATTCTTACTCACTACTAGGAGGATAAGTGTAAACATACGCTTTAATAGTTTAGGCAGCGAGAACAGCAAATCATATCAATAATCTCAAATACTACATTTGAACTGTCGTGGTTATCGCAAACAAGTCAATAATTTAAGTATGTGCATGGGCCAATCTTTATTACAAGTTCTGTATTTTAATAACTGATTTGTTGGCTGCATGTGATCACTGTATTTGTAATATGTGTTTGATTGTTTTTAGGCATTTTTGCCTTTATTGGACGGTTGATAGTCAGTGATAGATGTCCGTTGGATAGATAAAGGGAGAGAGAGATCTGACATTCAAAACAAATGATATGACCATATTATAGACCAGATGATGTTTTTTTTGTAGTTTAAGTTGTGTGACATATGGAGGACAGTATAACTATTGGTTCTAAAATAATTTAAAGTGGCCTCTCTTATTTAAAGCCATGTGCAGATTGCATACGAAATAATTTGTGCTGTTTGTTTATGTTGTTGCTGTTGATGAAGATCCCACTTTACTTGGAAATGATCAGAACCTGGGTCATTTTTAGTATGCTATGGGTCAGGTAGATCATTTAGACTAGCTAATTCTAAGAGGAGAGGTTCCTCTTCCGGTTTTCCCGAAACACATGTAGTTTATCTGAGGAACATTTATTAAATTCATCCAGATTTTTATTTTTTCAAGTAGCAGTCACTATCACACAGAAAATGATACACTCTGACATTCACTTTGAATCTACTGAGAATTAAGAGATTACAATACCTGCAGGCTTTCATACACTTTGTGTGTATACCAAATAGGACATATGGTGTCTACCGAATAAAAAGTTGTATATGATAAATTAATGTTTTATTAGAAAAACATGATAGTCGTTCCTGTGAAATAGTATGGAAACTTACTGCAAACTTATTCTATACGTGTTTTCAAACACATATGAACATATTCATAGATAAAAATGCATTTAGATTCAGATACAGTTCAAATTTTTTTTTGTTATGGAAATTTGTAGATAAGAATTGAGTATTGGTGTTGGTAGGAAACCGGGTCACCAGGAATCAAACCTACAGAAAGATATGGGGAACTAGCAAAATCCACAGAGAAAGGCCCTGTCCAGACCGGGGATTGAACACAGTCTGGGCAGGACCTTTCTCTGGCTTTGCTGTGAGGTGACATGGAGGAGGCATAGGGGCATAGAGGGGCATAGAGGCATTGGGCGTTTGGCCTTGGCGAAGGTCTGCGCTCTCTGAATGGCCTTTTAGTTGAGGGTTGGTGGGATAGCCTGGAAAATGAGTGTGTTCATTGTCCTCCAGCTCACTTGAAGAACTGAATGAATCTTTTCCACACAGAGTCTTTTAGGCTTCTTGTGGTCCTCCAGGGAGTGTTGGATGTCGATCATGGACTGGAGGAGATGGGACTTCTCTTCCTGCCACTTCTTCCTGACAGTTTCTTTGAACTGCTCCACTTGAGTTGTTGAAGCTTCATTCTCCTCCTTGAGCCTGTTGGTCTCTTCCATCTCAGACCCATCTCAGGCCTGAGTGGTGCTGTGGTGGCTTCCAAAGGGATTTCCTCTTGGCAGGGCTCCTTCTCAGTTCCGGGTACTCACCACTCTGTTGGGTACTTAATTTATGGATAACCTTCTTTAACATGTAATTTTTCTCCTTGAGCTTGTTGGTCTCCTCCATCTTAGACCCATCACAGGCATGAGTGGTGTGTTGTGAAGATTGTGGAAGGTCCTCTTTCTGTGCCTGGTCCTTTCTCGCGAGAAGGGTTATGGTCGTGGTCTCTGAAGCGCCTACCTCTGCAGACATAATAGCCCCGTTCGGCTCTCGAGCTACCTTAACCTGGTGGGGGGACGTCTCAGACCCATCACAGGCCTGAGTGGTGTGTTGTGGTGGCTTCCAAAGGGATTTCCTCTTGACAGGGCCTCTTCTCAGTTCCGGGTACTCACCACTCTGCTGGGAAGCACATGAAGGTGTACTTGCCTGTGGCAGAGGGCTGTGGTAGGATGGAAGTGTTCCCCACGGTGATTTAGTTGGCAGTGGAGCCACCATAACCCAAACACTGTTTTTAAAATAGAGCGGTAGGGTGGTGTACAAACCGTTTTCTTCTGTGTAAAGCCCTTTCTAAAATACATTACCTTTACCTCACCAAACAAAACCTTGCATGAGTCTTTCTGGACAGGGCAACTTGGCAATTTAGTGGCCTTACCAGCTTGCTGTGTAGCACCTGAAGGTGTACCTGTTTGGAGAAGTACACTCTCAGATGTGGGAGCTTGCGGTGGGTCCCTTCCCTGTGCCAGGCACTTTTTGATGGGGTGGGATTTGTTTTGAGTCTTGGGAGGATTTACCTCTGCAAACTCTGAAGTCAACTTTTGCCTGTAAAGAGTGGAAATCCTGTTATCCCCGGCTCTGAAGGAGACTGTTTAGTCCATTGCAGGCGGAATACAGTTTTTTTTCACTCTGTTTTTTCCTTTTTGGCTTTGAGTGTCTTTGGTGTTCTCCATCGGGAAACTCGTGAACTTTCTCTGTCTAAGTGTAGTCTACAATTACAGTATACTGTAGACTTGTAATTCTACAGTATACTGTTATAAAGGCCATATCTGATCAAAGGGAATATCTGATCAAAGTCAATAGAATGGAATATGTTCTATGATGACACACACACACACACACACACAGATTGCATGATCTATACACAGTGCAATCCAGGGCTGACGTCATTATAAAAGACAGAGAAAACTATCAACCACTAAGGGGCGCCGCAGCTCACACTTTCCCCGCCTCCACATACTTGGAAGAGGCAATTGAGCTGCACTATTATTTGCATGCCAGAACTTGGTGTTTGTTTAGTCGGGGAGGCAATTAAAGCCAATTTCAACAGGTTTAATTAGATTGATTTGAATAATTGTTTTTGAAAGGCCTTGCAGATCCCGGCATCACAGTAAATCCAGGATTAGCAGCGTTCATTCGATGTGCATACTTTAACTCGCATCTAATTTAGTGCGCCTCGAGGAACCATGGATCAAAGATAATCCCGAACATATACTTTTTATTCGTTTTTGTTCG